TCGAAGGTCACACGGTTTCCCTTGTCACATAATTGACTTATGCTCAAGAGATTGTGTTTAAGACCTTTAACAAGCAAGACATTATCTATAGAGGAGTTTTCAGATTTACCTACTGAACCAACGCCGATAATTTTTCCCTTGCTATTGTCTCCAAAAACTACGTTTCCTCCTTTAGCGGGTTTGATTTGGAGAAACTTGGATGCATCCCCGGTCATGTGCTTGGAGCATCCGCTATCAAGGTACCAAAGTACACTCGATGCCTTCAAGCACACCTATAAAACACATCAATGAGTTTTAGGTACCCAATTTACGTTGGGTCCTCGGATGTTAGGTGTGTGATGGTAGTGTGCTTGATTTTGTGACAGGTGCCTATGCCTAGTGTAACAAACGGGAGCAATATGGCCTATCCTATTACAATAATGACAGACTACATTGGGGTTGTACATGTGCCTAGGTTCATAATAGTTAGAAGGTTTAACCATTTTGTTCCTATTTTGTGAAAATGATGGTTTTTGGAAATTTTGAAACTGGCCTCTTCTAGGTGTTCTAGCATCATTTCTTCTTATTTGAGAAAATTCATTTTTATGCACAAAATCATTTTTCTTAGGTTCTCTACCATGACCGTTTTCATTCCTAGGTTTTAGTCTAGGTTGTCTGGTGTCCTTAGGTTGACTAGATCTTCTATTATCTTGATTTTTAGGTTTCTTATGTTGAACCTTAGATGATTGTCTAGGTGGTGGCTCAACATTATCTTTAGCTTTATTTTTATCAAAACCTATTCCTTCCTTAGAAAAATGCATAGTGTCAAGAAGTAAATTTAAGTCTTTATAAGGAGTATTAAATTTCTTGACCGTGCTCTCAAGTTTAGCGACTTGCTCTTTTAAAGCTTTGCAAGACCCACATTCACTTGATGAGCTTTCTGGTTTGTCAGCGCTTCTTTTTCCAAAAAAATTGTTTTCTTGTTTAAGTGTTTCATTTTCTTTTTCCAATTTTTCAAAATCGTTTTCAAGTAAAGAAAGTCGTTTCTTCAAAGATTTATTTGTTTTAGAAGCGTTAACAAATTCCTCATAGAGTTCATGAAGTGCTTCTTGCATTTCTTCAAAAGTATAAGAGTCGGAAGAAATGTTACATACCTCTTGGACGTCGTCGCTTTGATCTTCGTGTGCCATGAGGCAGAGATTTGCAGCTTCGTCCTCCTCTTGGTCGGTTGATTCGTCGCCGGAATCGCCACCCCAAGAGATGTAGGCCCTTTGCTTCTTGAAGCCAGGCTTGTCCTTGCCGTGTTTGGCCTTTGGACACCTTGGCTTGATGTGGCCAATCTCGCCACAGCCGTAGCATTTGGGAGGACCGTCGTGCTTCCTTCCCTTTCGCTCAAATTCCTTCTTCATGAACTTGTGGAACTTTTTGATGACGAGCCCGAATTCATTGTCGTCATCGCTTGAAGCCTCTTCCACCGGTTCCTTGGTGGCTTTGAGAGCTATCCCCTTTTTCTTTTGTTCATCCAAAGACGGGGTTAGAATAGTAGATTCATAGGTTTTAAG